AATACTTCTTTTTCTCAATAAAATATAAATAAATTAATATAGATATTTAAAAGTTATTTTCTGGATTTTCTTTTTGATATTCTGTCTCCACATGTTAGAATACACCTACCATTAAAATTACAGACTGATCAAGTCTTTCTTAGTGGGTAAACCAACAAAATCAGCAAGGGATCAAATACTTGTTTTCCCCACTGTACACTTCTGTAGTACCATCTCTGATTACAGGAAAAGACCAGACATTCTTATATCCTTTTGACTCTAAAAATGAGCCAGCTGTTTTTTGCAAAACATAATTAGCAAAGGCAAATAAGAACATGTAAATTATTATATTTAAATTGGGTCCTCATGTAGTAATACCATTTCCAACTCGGGAGCCATGTATTTGGTGTAGATAATTTATGTTATCCACCACTGATTTTGGAGTAATAATGAGTCAGTTTGACTACTGGGTCAAGCAGGAAAGAAAAAAATACTACACAATCATATGAGCACAATAGGCAACCAATAGCCACAGATGGGAATTATATTTGTGATAACTTTATTAGACCTCATTGATAAGGAATAGAAATTAACCACTATTAAATATAACCCTTGGAATAGGAATAAAGCATTGTAAATCTTGTAAACAAGAATAAGATATATACAGTAGGATTAGTAGCTTCTACTGCAAGCAGCTCTTTCAAGCTCAGCAGCCAAGTATAGATAAGAGATGAAATTAGGTTTACAGGCAAAATACTTAGCTTTAATAGGGAGTTACATGAGAATTCTGCCAACATTTGTAAATACAAATCTCCTAGCCAGATTGCTACCTTCCCCTTATTTGCTCTCCTGGTATTATTTATTTTCAGGTCTATCCAGCTGCCTACTACACACAACCTCAGCTCACTGTATGCCCACTCATCCTCACATCCGTGGTGTGTTTACTTGCAATCCTTGCATCTGGAGAAAAGCCTCCTAGTCTGTCCAGGCTTCCCACCAGTTCTCAGCACAGCTAGTGTGCTATCGAGTTCTCATCCTGTTTGTTTGAATCACTGTTTGAGTGAGCTTATTACAGGCGCACTGAGTCATTTTACTGTGGGATATCAGATGAACAGCTAACTTTCTGAGTTCCACTGGGCCTCAGTTTAAACTTGTACCTCATGTGCAGTAATCAAAATATTCACTGAGATGGTAGTCATCTACTGATCTCCCTTTGAGGGAACTGGGGTTTAACAACCCTTATCACTGTGCATTGTGTGAGGACCAGGGTCATTATCGTGATTGAGATATTCACCAACAAGAATGAACAAGAAGCACTTTAGTCTCAGCCTCAGACACTCCACTCATTGGATGCAGAGCATCTGATATCTTTAGTACTCTTCTGGCCATTATCTTCAGGATCTTGAAGATTGCAGTTGGACTGGTTCTCTGTACTTTTGTGCACCTGATTTCAGTGGGAGAACATAACACAACAACAACAACAGGTTTGTGGTAGTAAGCCAATAAGCCAGTAAGTAGGGCAGTGGTGGCTCAATGGTTAAGGCTCTGGGTTATTTATCAAGAGATTGGGGTTCAAGCCCCAGCACTGCCACATTACCATTGTTAGGCCCTTGAGCAAGGCCCTTAACCCTCTCTACTCCAGGAGTGATGTATCATGGCTGATCCTGTGCTTGGACCCCAAATTCCTAACAAGCTGGGATATGTGAAAAAAAGAATTTAACTGTGCTGTAATATATGTGTGACAAATAAAGTCTTCTTCTTAGCCATATTTATTGACAAAACATACCAGATTCTATAGCAAACCTAGAGGTCTGGCTTGAAAGCTCCTTAACCTTGAAGAAAGGAGAGGTGGAAGTGGTACTAAATCTGTGCCCTAGAATATTTCTGGGGAAAAGTGGAGATGTAAAATTAGAGCCCCTATTAGTATCACCACAAATTTTTTCACAGGCCATGAGAGGTGCAGAGCAATAATGAGAGAGGGACAAAAATACACACACCAAGTGCCCACTGTGGCGCTCGACTCCCCATGTACCTGCTAATGAGAACGTACCAACGCTTAGGAGGTTTCAGGCCTTCCAAACCATTAACCAACATACCAACTTCACACACATGCACATGTTATTCATTTATTTATTCATTCATCAATTCATTCATTCATCTTCAGTAACTTTTTTATCCTCATCAGAGTTGCGGGAACACGGGGCATTAGGCAAGAATACACCCTGGATGTGACACCAGTCCATCCCGGGACACCATACACACACATTCATACACTTATTCCCACCTAGGAACAATATAGTGTAGACAGTCCATCTACCATCATGATTTAAGGAGGTGGTAGGAAATCAGAGAACCCAGAGGAAACCCATGTTGTGATAAGGAGAACATACACACATATATTAGTTTTACTGCACAGGTAGTTCCCTTAATACACTACTATACTACAATACTGTAATACACAAAACATTCCCCCTGTTATTGCATACAGCTGATAGCACACAACATGGACTGTACATGTACACACTTACACACAGCTGGCTATGGGAATGGCACTTCTAAAGCACTGTCACACTGTCACACCTTTAGAAGAATTATGCTGCTTGTGTGCACTTACTCACCACTGACTGCTTCCACAGATATGGAAGACCCATGTGTGTGTGTGTGTGTGTGTGTGTGTGTGTGTGTGTGATGGCAGTAATGGTCCATTAGGGCAGGACACTCTCTCAGTCACCTGCAATGATTGTGGTGCTAACAATCCCATCAACCTCATCAACTGTGGCCAGCTGGTGGATGTAGGTGTGTGAAGCAGGCGAGAGGACACACTACAGTGAGTGCACTAGAGATAGTGCATGTGTGGACTACATCAGAGTTGCCATAAGTCTGCTGTACCAGTGTTTTAGTGTGTCAAAGTTTTATATAGACCCGTAACTAACAGGCTTTCTAATCTTACCCTGCTAAATAGACAGTGTCACCAAATAAGCAACAAGGCTTCATCATCAAGGCCACTCCTGTCATATCACCAATAATTACTGTAAATCAAGCAGAGACCTAGACTGGCCTTCACTGTAGTTAGATAAATAAATAATGAATAAAGAGATCTAAAAGTAATGGCTTTCCACGCTGGGTAGAGGCCACAACCCTGTTGTGCCTAATTTATTTAGAAGGTTTGTAAGGGAATGGGTGGACAAGGACAGCTTTCTTCCTTGGTGGTATTATTATAGTGTTTCATAGTGGTGCAGAAGCACTATTTACTCTCTTTGTGGTTACTTTTTTCTCACTAATGAAAGCATTGCAGTGGGATCCTCCTTTGCACCAAAGCGCATTTCTGTCTGTCAGCCTGTAAATCTCTCTCTCCCTCTGTCTGAAAAAAAAGACAGCTAGGCCATTTGTGAGTGCTGATGCCTGTTTTACAGTTGAGGCAAGAAAGAATATTGATTAAAAGGATGAGAGGAAAAGAAAAGAAGTGTGAAAATAAAACTCTCTAGCTGCTCTCCCACGATTATGTGTGTGTGTGTGTGTGTGTGTGTGTGTGTGTGTTTACTGCTTCACTTGGGATCCTTGGTGATTACAAAATGTGCTAAAATACATCTGAGAGTCTTTTTGTTCATAAAAAGGTTTATTTTTGTGACCTAAACAACCTCATTGAAAGGAACATTAAGCCATGCTTAAAATTTACACCACTGTGCCTAGAGAAGGAGCAGGAGAGAGAGATAAAAATACATACCATTATGTAGACAACAACCGAAGCATAAGTAACAGGATTAGATCCTTCCATCTGTGATTCTTTAAAAACTAAACAGCATGGGCAGATCAGAGACAGGGAAGGGAATTCCCTACTGACCCCCTGCTGACAAGAAGACTGTGAAGGTGAGAGGAACATAGAGGAACACACTGAATATAGACACACACACATACACACACACAGGAGAAATACACCCTATGCCCAGTAACTGAGGCTCAGAGACAGCTGCGTCCTCTGAGGAAACTTCTTGTCCAAGACGGCTTTAAATAGTAATGCAATCCTATTATATTTATCCTCTGTCGTCCTTTGCCCTAGGTAGCCATGATGTTTCCACTCATTTATTACTACCTCCATCATTCACTTTCTCTCAACCATGATCCCATAGTGTCTCTATCTTCACATGGCTCCTTGCTTCCCCTGTCTGGCTAAGCCTGCAGGAGAAGAAGTGCATTTCTTTATCTGTCCTTTATATCTCTCTTGCTGTTTCTAGGCTACAGACATTTTTGCTATTGATTCTAATCACACAAGTGCTCCACATCTGCCCGCTTGCACTGATGGTGTATTAGCCTTACCAGCAATATATGAGACACCATCCTATCTATTATACATTTTGATTATACTGCTTATTTGTATGAAATTATATAAGAAAGATTCATAGACAGACACAAAAAGCTCTCTGGGGCTGACATATGCAAACACCACTTCTACCTATACAGAGCTGATGATCCAAGAGACATTGAACATATGGACGTTTCTGCTTTTATTTTAACACAACATTTTCAAACATCACAGATTTCTTAAATGCAGCTTTTGGTGCAAAAATTCCGTGTCATAAAATTGACTGGTCACATATGACCAGAAAACAAAATTTCAACGTAGCTCAAGTGATGGTGGAAAAGTTCAGGCACTGCACTTTATGAGTTGATCTCAGGAGGAGCTATTTACATGCAACCTTTCATACGGCTTGTTCATATGGAGGTGGATCTAATAGTTGATTTTGAAACTCTACAACGCCAAAACTTCTTTTTTTTTCTTTACTCTTCCAGATTTTTGAAATCCAGGTAGATAGTGCTTTGCAACTGCTTGTGTATTTTCATCCACTAACTTCCTTGTGTTGTTTTGAATGCTATTTTTCCACATGATGATTGATGACAAAGGGATTTTACATGTGTGCAACAGGAAACAGGAAATGGTCTAGGACAACAGCATGGAGAGTTCATGGAGAGAGAGGGCAATTTAAAAAAGTAAATACATTTTTTCAATGATGCCAATTTGTTTAATTTAGTTTAAATAGTCATACTTGCTAATAAAAGTACAAAGAGGTAAACCAGTTATGCATGCCCCATCATTTAGCAAGCAATACGTTAACATAATGTGAGCTTGTGTCCACTCTCAAACAGTGATGACACTGAGAAAAAGGAAAGAGAAGGGGAAGATGAGGGAGAGAGGAGGGATGTGGCCTCCTCCCCTGCCTTGCAATCCTTCATGTAGCAGCACCTTTTTGTCACTCTCAATGTCACACACACACACACACACACACACACATGTTCTGAGTGCAGAAGCCCCTTGAGAAGATGAAATATTCAGAGGTGGGGGTGTGGTATTGCCAGTAGGTATATGTACTAATTATACAGTGTAGTCCTTGTTCTACAGTGCCACAGAAATATACGGTCATACTTGAGTCCTCAAGAAGATGAGTGTGTGCTGTGAGACGCTGGTGTATCTCTCCAGACCGCTCCTGCATATTCTAGTGACCTACTACACTGACTCAGAGAGAACCCTTTCTCCCTCTCTCACGTGCTCCGAAAGCACCCTGCAAATATTCACATTTCTCAGCTTGCCCTATCCCGTTCCTCCCAGGCCTCGATTAAGCAGTATTCTCTCTAGGCACCAAATGTTGATTTTTACTTTATAAAATTTGTACACATGCTGGCTGCATCTAACTCAATAATCCAGTTTGATGTTAATATGGATACGTGTATACCATGTGTGTGCCTGATTCCACTTCATGAAGTACATGACGAGATGATTTCCACCAAGGATTGTGTCCCTCTGACCTGTGTACGTCACATATCAGATTGGCTACAACTGCCATGTGTCACGTCTGTGTGTCATACCACATTACCACATGATTTTATTATAGTGAGACAATATCTCCATGTTCCATGCAATGTAGAACAAATTAGATCAAATGCATGCAAAAGTAAACTGAATCCAGCTGTAATATTACTGTATATCAAATGCCATGATGTTCCTTTAAATGCATGTTGTGTGCAAAAGAGGGGGAGAGGTCAGAGGGCAAGAAAAATGACCTTAATATGACAAAGAACCCAAAGGGTGGTGTTTAAAATGAATATTTAAAATATTACTTTTAAATATTTTTTTGGATATTCAATTAAACAGTCATTGGCTTTGATAATGAAGACTATATGCTGTGACAGATATTTACAGTGACTAGGCACATAGACAACTAAACCTAAACAGCTAAAAATATTTCCCTAAAATCATCCTATGGTGTATATGTTATAAAGCTATATCTGTTCACAGTGTTTATACAAAATCTTAGAGTTTTCTTTTATGATATTAATGAGATATTAAAGACATTCTATAAAATGTTCAACTCAGACAATTACATTACTTTTCAATTTATCAGAGTCTCCAGTGGCGTTGGCCTTAATAAAAATCTGAAACCATTATTCTTTCCATTTTCCATCATGCGGACGCTCTCGAGCAGAGGATGTACTGAGTTGTAGCTTATCACAGAATTATTGCTCTCTCTGTTTATCTCTGGGCTATCAAAAAAGATCTAAGTTAATGGGTGTTGACTCATGTAGGCGTTATCCTGTACA